TTGCAGGACAAAATGCTGGGACTAGGGGTATATGAGTGGGGCTACGTAAGCTGATTTTGCCGGAAAGAAATATTTCGGTTTTAAAACAGTTTCTAATTATGAGCTTTTTTACGATTGTGAGATGTTCATTCATAATACATCGTATCCGTCAGTTTATTAATGCTGCCTATACTGTATAAAGCATGTTCCGCACCTATTGAAACATTTTATGAGGACTATGTGACTTCTTCCTCAAACTATATGTGAAAACGTACCTTTCCTTAAATAGGATGTACACAGTGCGCAGTTTGTAAACCTTGAATTCGAGTGTAAAAGTCAATAGGTTTCGAAATTATTCGGCAATTTAGAAACATTTTGAAAACCGAAACATACCATTTGTGTAAGTACAAAATTAAAAAGGCGTAATTTGCTACCAAACGAGTACAAGAAATAATTGTTTCGTTTACTTTTTCCATAAAATATATTCGAATTTATAAAGGCAGTAAAAGTCAATGATAAAAATGCATACTAATTAGGTAGCCACTTTTTACAGTACATAAGTTTTGCTAGTGGTCAGAACGAAGCTCATTAAAATGCTCGCATCCAATCATAACTGAAATAACTTCAGAATAGACTGCGTAATAATCACTATCACAACCTGAGTCAATGCCGATTAGTGAAAGAGTATCAATCTTTCGCATATGACGGCATGTCGTATGAATTCTGGCGCGTACTGTACTCGCGTGACGTGCTCAGTCACTTTAAGGCTATAACAGTATTACGCCATCGCCCGACAATGACGTGGTAACCAATTTTTATTTTGAAAGTAGGGCTGTTTTGCTGCAAAGGGTTACAGCTCCCCTAATGTGCTAGAGGCTAGCAGCTCTCTGTGGGTACCTTCTTGTAAACCCTTTACAGATGTTTCCTCAAGCTGGCTGTTTGGATAAATGGTTACTTAGCAAAACATCTAATCGCGCTAATGCCTTTCCTACTGAGGCTTTTCACGGTTTCCATCCACCCAATTTTAGACTCTATCCGCAAACAGTGCTGAAGGTCCCGTCAGCGGAGTCACCCGGCCAACCCTCATACCAGTCTCTAGTCCTCTGCAGCCTGCTATATGCCCAGTGAATCCCTATCTGGTCGCCATGGTATCAGACATCGATCTCATACTCGCTGCCGTACCAAGGCCAACGACGGTAGCCGGTGTTGATGCCAGCCCAAACCCGCCCGCAATTGTAAATCTGACCAATCTCCCCTCGGGTGGTACGTCCTAAACTTTTTTGGAATCTTTGTTTACAAATGTAGATGCACTTGGGTTGTACTTGTTGCGGCTGTGATCTAGCCGGCCTCGATGATGATGTCACTGGTTGCACCTCTCTCCACGCGTGACGATTCGTGGCAGCCGATCTGGACAGTTGGGTTCACGAATGTAGGCCAGTGTTTGCATCCCAGGTATGTGTATACAGATAGAGGAGGAGAAGGCGTTTCGATCATCGGAGGCATAATTTTATTCGTCTGAGCTTTCGGGCTCTTACTGGAGTCCACCGCCACAGTGTCAAAGCGTTCAACAGAATCTAGATGCACTGCAGTAACCCGGAAGAAAAAGCACGCGAGGTCCGATATCTCCGAGACCGGTTTATGCGGAATGGCTATCCGAAGGCCTTCATAAGCTGGTGTCTACGTGCTCACCTTCCGAAGACCCAATCAGAACCAACCCGTATGAAGCGATCGGTCGCATTGCTGCGGGACTAGGCGTCGAATTGCACACCGTCCCACGGCTACCATGCCCAGCCGGGTCATGAGAATCAAGGACCGATGAAATCCCAGTGAGCAGTCGGACGTAATGTATCACATACCATGCCTACTCTGTCCTCGACGGTTTTATCGCTGACGATAGACTCTAGTAAGAGCCCGAAAGCTCAGCCGAATAAAATTATGATTCCGGTGATCGAAACGCCTTCTCCTTCTCTGTCTATACAGTTAAGTTCATTTTGTTCGCCAACGACAGAGACCAAATACCA